AAAACGGTCCATGTTTTATACATAAGATATACGTCTGTGAACGTGATAACTTGAGTAATTTTTGTCCGAATTTGATGAAATTTGGTTTAAAGGTGCAAGGAGGGATAAACTTGAATGCGTTCGCGAACCAGCACGATCGGACCATGGGAACGGGGCTTTACGGGGGGTTTTATGGGGTAAAAATTGGTTTTTCTCACTTTTGACCCTCAAAACACAAAATTTCCCAATTTCTCTCTAGACCTTTTTAAAGAGCTTAAGAAAACAAATAATCTAGTAAATCAAAGTGTTTTTGTACGGTTATTGGTAACGGAGGAAATTCAAAAATTGTAAATTTAAAATTCCCATGTTATTCTTAAGGAGAATGTTGTATGGTTTCTTATCGTTGGTGGTGTTCTATGACTTTCCTATGTTTCCATAGTTTGCAAATCGGCTGTTTCAATGATTACTATAAGAAATGCAGCACAGTCTTAATTCAGTTTTCTTTTAAGTACATCAATTTATCCAGGCTCTCTAGCTTTTTCCCATTGTATTATATTTACGCCAACCCAAATATGTTGAGACTGGGACGGGTGGCGTCGTCCTGTAATCCAGCTACTTGGAGGTCACGGATTGTGGATATTTATAGGCATGCACTGTGGATGGGATACTCACTGGTGTGGATTAACGTCCGCACTAGTGAGTACTACTACTATCCGCAGTATTATCCTGATAATTAGACCAATTCGTATATACCAAGGAAAAAATGTGGTTCGGATTCCACTATAAACTGTAGGTCCCTTAGCTGCCATTAGCTGTTTGGGCTATTAATTAACAGCTGTGTCTAAGGAATGTCGGCCTTAGTCACTAACAAGACTACAAGATCGCGCCACTCATCCTACACTCATCTCCATTCATACTTGGCTTAAAATACCTACATAGTATGGTCGCCATTTCATAAGAAAGTATAAAAGAAAGTATAAAGTATGTAAAGTGTTGTAGTTTGCTTGTTTATGGATATATTTTGATCAAACTTGGCATATTTATTTATTTTATAACTAAGCTATTTTATTTAAAAAAAACAACACACTTTATTAGTTTCCTTGTAGCAGCAAACCTAATTATGTAATTGTTAAACTTATTGTTTTTTTTTATTAATTAGCTTATTTAAATTAATTTAATGTAGATTTTATTAAAAATAAATTTAGATGAATGGAAATTCGCTTAGTCAGCAGGTTTGCTGCGATGGGGGTATTTTGTGTTAAAGAACGTTTATAAAATATATTTCTATTTAACTGAGTGAGTATTTGGAGTAGTATAAGAGCATTAAACTTTATTTTGACTTTAGGATATGCCCTACCTATTTAGGATAGTTAACCTATATATTTGTATTGGAGTCATAATAAAAAAAAACTATCTATACAATATAATGTTTTCCCAAAGAATAAAAAGAGTAAAATTTGGACCCTAGATACATCAAATGAACTTTACAATGAAAGACTGAAAATGGTATTATATTTAAATTAAACTAACATGCATCATACTTCTTAGATACATCATAAAACTGAAGATATGTTAGTTGGTGTGATATACTTGAAGAATGAAGTTGATTCTATAATGCCATCCGATACAATCCGATATAAAATGTCGTTATTTGTTTGAATTCGATTGTCACGAGCAGCGCAACTAAAGCAATAAGTACGGAGAGCTTAACGTAGGGCGAGTGGAGGTTTATGCAGTGGGATTACAAGGGTTGGACGCGCGGACGCCTCGCCACGTAGGGCTGATCATCGTATCTGCCTAACTGTTATATGCCATCTCATAGGCCAATGCATATAGAGTACACATAGTGTAACACTGGCTCACAAAGCTGATAATCGTATCGGCCTAACTGTTATATGCCATCTCATAAGCCAATGTAGAGTACACATAGTGTAACACTTGTACACGAAGCTGATAATCGTATCTGCCTAACTGTTGTCTGCCATCTCATAAGCAAATGTATATAAAGTACACATAGTGTAACACTTGCTCACAAAGCTGATCATCCGTATCTGCCTAACTGCTATCTGCCATCTCATACGCCATTGTATACACAGTCCACTGACAATGTTTGTGTACGATGTACGTATATTTTATTTCACTAAACAATCCACCGCTGAGGAACAGATTCGTTAAAAACTGACGGACCTCTAGTTTCAAATGGAGTGGAGCTTCATCCTGTTGGTAAATGAATTCCTCCAAAACATCCATGAGTTGAGGAAAACTCCATTCTTCCAGCATTTCCATGTAGGATATCCCACTTGTTCGTTTCACAAAAAAGATTAGTCCTTAAATAGTTTTTTCGAGATACGGCACAGGACACGTTTTCTTTATACGAGTCATTTTCTTGTTCCAATGTTGCACGTGGATTTTGCAGACCCCAGATGCGTACATTGTGCCTATTGACTTTCCCTTTCCCATAGAGATAGAACGTAACTTCATCGCTGAAATGAGGCACCACTGAAACTCGTCTTCCTCTATCATCTTTTAAATTCCATTACAAAACTCAAAACGATTGTCTATGTCATTAGGAAGGAGAGCCTGTACAAGCTGTATTTGGTAGGGCTTGTAGAGCAAACTTCGTCGAAACTCACCATACAGTCGTTTGGGGTATTCCAATTTCTCCACTAGCTTTGACATTGGATTTTTTCAGACTGTGAACGATACTGTCTTCTATTCGTTGGACAATAACCTCTGACACACATGGACGACCTGTTTCTTATCATTTACTCACACTTCCAATTTTTTTGAAATTGCCTAAACCAACGAGCTATGTTTTTCCTAGTTGGTGGTTCAATACCGAATTCGATGCAAAAGACCACTGTTTTATAATAGGAGATTCAGTTTATGCTAACTCTGTCACAGAGAAAATTCTACGTTGCATGTTAGCTATCTTACTGACAACTGATGGTAAAACAAAACACTGCCCATCGTTGCGAAAACCTTTTCGGCCGTTTACGGAACTATTAAAAAGACTTTGGAATTTCCTCTTTTTAATGGTGTTAAGTCTATGTCTACCCGATTTATACTTTTTGAGATACAAAGTCATGAAGTTGGGTTCATATTTTTGAATAGCCCTGTATATTATAATCTAATTACCTTTTCTAAGATAATATTTATCGAGAACAGGTTGACATTCATCGTATACGTAGCTTTTGAGTGGATGAAAAAGTCACAAAAACATATCCGTGTTGTATATTTTTACTATGGTTATAGTTACATATTGCATGGTAAAGTCGTAACCAGTTTTAGAATCAGATGAACGAGGTTGAGTTGAACTACGTAAATTGCAGGGCGCTCATGTAAATTACCGATTTCTATCGAATACCCACACTTTTTGGTCGTGCATCAATTGGGCTAAAGAGTTCCTTAATTGCGCCAAGCCAAAACCAGTGGGTTGCAGGCAGAAGTACTAACCTATTGTACGTGTTATCCTAACCTAACCTAACTTAACCTAACCTATTTAATTATACAGTTAAAGGGGCCACAACATATCGGGTGGCTCCCTAGAGTAGTTGGCACAATTCAGGAATAACCGAATATCTGACTCAGGTCAGTTGTCAAAATTAATGCCCGCGCAACTTTTTATACAAGCCAAACTAAAAGGACAAATTATTGTAAATTGTATCATTTTTATGTTACATTAGCGTTTTGAGTATTTTAGACTATATCACATCCTGTAAGTGGTTCATCCCTCTATGTTCTTTTTTAATGAAAGATTGCAGGTAATCTGGTTAGACTTTACCATAATTTCTTTATTTAAGTCATATGTTTTCTAATTATTAAAATGTTAGTGTTTACTTTCAAAAATGTAAATAAATATTGAGTTGAGTGAGTAAATCAATGAGAAAAAAACCATGTCCACTTTTCTGAGTAAATATCTATAATTTCTTTATGGTCCTTCTACGCCACGCGATATGAGCCAGCAAAGAGTAACAACATTATTAAAACAGAGGAGTACAGTGAAATCATCCCTTACCAGAATCAATACCTACCTAGAAAATGTGAGTATTACCAGTACAGATAAGGCAAACCTGATTGTAAGACAAGAAAAGCTTGATAAACTATTTGATCAGTATCTTCAAATTCATGAAGAAATTAGCAGTATAGATGAGGAAAAAGCTAATGATGACATTTTAGGAGCTTTCGAAAATGATTATTTTGCAACTAAAGCTAAATTATAAAATTTACTAAGTGAATATCAAACTAATGTCCCTAATCTAGTTCCTGTTCCTTCGTTTAATTCTATTCAACAAAGTGTTTCAGTTGACCCTATTTCTCAAGTCAAATTACCTAATTTACATCTACCATCATTTAATGGGAATATTGAGGAATGGCCTTCATTCAGCGAGTTATTTATATCTATTGTCCATGACAACCAGTCGCTTCCAAACATCCAAAAGCTATTTTATCTAAAATCTTGTCTAAAAAGGGAGGCACACCAACTATTGCAGTCACTTCCGTCTACAGATCAAAACTATTTAGAGGCCTGGGACATTCTAAAGCTCAGGTATGACAACAAAAGGCTGATTGTAAATTCTCACCTAAAAGGATTATTCAGTCAAGTACCTTTACAAAATGAGTCTTCACAAGGACTTAGAAAATTAGTTGATGAATCTGAAACCCATATTAGGGCTCTAAAGTCGTTAGGTGAAAATGTAGGTGAATGGAATAGCATACTTGTGTACATTCTAACTAGCAAATTAGATAGTGAGACTAGAAAACAATGGGAAATGTCCTTAACTACACAGGATAGTCCTAATTTTGAGCAGCTAAAATCGTTTCTTATCCAAAGAACTAATGCTTTGGCATCCTCAAGCATATCTAAGACATCTGCATCTAACATTAGTCATTCTAATAATAGAGGTATGCAAAGTAAAGGGTCGTTTAAACAAGCAAGGGGAAAGTCTTCTTTTACTCATGTTTGTGTAATCTGTGAAAAACCTTATCATGCAATTTATCAGTGTGACGAATTTAGTAGCATGAGTGTATCTGACAGAATAGATCTTGTCAAAAAGCGTAAATTATGTTTTAATTGTTTAAAACCCAATCATTCTGCTACTGATTGCAATGGTTCTACTTGCAAACTGTGTAACCGAAACCATCACACAATGATTCATATTGAATTGAAAAAGGAAATTGGCAAAACATGTGACAAGAATAAAGTAACATCTATCTCGGCTAGTCATAATGCGTCTGAACAAGGGTTTGCATCTAAATCTGTTGATCTAAGTAATGCAGAGGACCCAATGTCATCATCACAAGTTTTGCTGTCGACTGCTATATAGTCCTAATCGAGAATAATAAAGGAGAACGTGTAAGAGTGCGTGCACTACTTGATTCAGGTGCACAATCTAACTTTATAACTAAGTCATGCGCTGATCGACTTGGCTTAAAACTTTTAAACTCTTCAATAACTATTAATGGTATAGGGCAATCGAAAACAAGAGCATCAAAACGTGTATCATTAAATCTTTTTTCAAGAGTTAGCGAATATTTTACCAACATTTCAGCAGTAGTTTTGCCAACCATCTCCACTAAACTACCTGCTGAGACTATTAACCATACCAACTGGTCTCATCACATCTCTACACTTGTCCTGGCAGACCCGGAGTTCTACAAACCAGGTGAAGTCGATATGCTATTGGGAGCAGAAGTTTACTTCGACCTTATCATTGAAGGAAAGATATCAGGTACCAAACAAACACCTACTCTTCACAATAGTGTTTTGGGCTGGATTGTTGCTGGTAGGTGTGGGCAGTACCCAAATGAGACTGAGTCAACTTGCAATTTGACTATTGAGAGCCAACTTAAGCGATTCTGGGAAATCGAGCAAGTTGTTACTGATCCTGTTCTCACTAAAGAGGAACAATATTGTGAGCAGCATTTCAAGGAAAATGTCAAACGAGATGAATCTGGACGCTTTGTTGTAAAACTACCATTCAATGAACGTCTAAATGAGTTAGGAAAATCACAGCACATAGCTTTGGGTAGTTTCAAAAAAGTTGAACAAAGATTGTCATTAAATTCCGAGAGAAAACAGCAGTATAATAGTTTCTTACAGGAGTATCTGAAACTAGGACACATGGAACTAACAGGGAAGCTAAATTTCAGTGAATCAGTAACCACCACAGGTAACGTAACAAATTGTTTCTTACCTCATCACGAAGTAATAAAGGAGTCAAGCTCTTCAACCAAACTGAGAGTGGTTTTTAATGCATCCTGTCCTACAAGCACAAGGGTATCTTTGAATGATACACTTATGATAGGTCCAAACGTCCAGCAGGACTTGTTTTCCATCCTAACACGTTTCCGACTACATGAAATAGTTATGGTTGCTGACTGTGAGAAAATGTATCGCCAGGTGTTAGTTGATGAAAATGATTGTAAGTTTCAACAAATATTGTGGAGGACAAACAGTTATGAGCCTGTCAAAATATATAAACTGAAAACAGTAACATATGGCACCTCTAGTGCTCCCTTCTTAGCTACTAGGTGTTTGAAACAGTTATCAGAAGACGAGAAGACACGATTCCCTACAGCTTGCGCTGCTGCAGGAACGGATCTCTATGTGGACGACTTACTAACCGGGTGTCATGATGAGAAGACTGCTCTACAGTTACAGGAAGAACTTGATCAACTTTTACGTTCAGGATGTTTCAAACTACGTAAGTGGTGTTCCAATAGTTCTGCTGTACTAGACATGATACCAAAAGAGGACAAAGAGGTTGGTGCTATGAACTTAGATTTAGAAGAGAGTAAACCTATTAAAACTTTAGGAGTTGCGTGGGAACCCAAATCAGACATGTTTCAAATAAACATCAATGTCACAACTCAAAATAAATCTAGTTTAAACAAACGAGAAATTCTGAGGGCTATTTCAAGTGTATTTGATCCACTGGGACTAATAAGTCCTTTAGTAATAGTTTCAAAAATCATGCTACAACAACTGTGGTTAACTGGACTAACTTGGGATGAGCCGGTGAGTGAAGACATAGCAAAACAATGGGATCAAATCAAAGGTGAGCTGTTAACTATCAATAAATTGTGCATTCCTAGACAAGTCACAACTCACAATTACTTACGTGGAAGTATTGAAATTATTGGATTTTGTGATGCATCCGAGAAAGCTTATGCTAGCTGCGTGTATGTGCGATCTATTTCAACCAATCATGAGGTAAATGTTAATTTGCTTTGTTCCAAAACAAGAGTTGCCCCAACCAAACAAATTTCCTTACCACGATTAGAACTTTGTGGTTCCTTGCTTCTGTCTCAATTATTAAGTAAGGTAGCCTTTTCTCTGAATATTGATGTAAATAAGTGTTGTGCTTGGACTGATTCCACAATTGTTTTGTGTTGGTTGTCTCAGTTGCCAAATAAATGGAAGACGTTTGTTGCTAACAGGGTGTCAGAAATACAAGACACTATTCCGCCTTCAAATTGGAATCATGTTAGTTCGTTTGAAAACCCAGCTGATTTGGCTACTAGAGGCATTTCTGGTTCTCATCTGAAGCAATCTAGTCTTTGGTGGCATGGGCCGGAATGGCTAAGGCAAGAGAAATCAAGTTGGCCTCGAAATAACATGAATGTTAACTTAGAGGAAATCCCAGAGTTACGAAAACCGTCCACTCAACTTTTGTTTTCCCAAGAAAAGTCAACTTTGCTTAAGAAATTGATGAACTTCTCAAGCTATTTTAAGATCATATGTATTATTGCTTATATCTTGAGATTTACAAATAACACAAGAAAACCTGTAGAAGAAAGAGAAAAGGAGTCTTTAAACAGCAGTGAACTTGAGAAGTCTACTAAAACAATTGTCAAACTTATCCAGGAAGAATGTTTTCAGGATGAAATAAAGCAACTGAAAAAACATGGTCATGTCAAAAACAAGAGTAAACTGAAAAATTCATTTTCATTTTTGGACGAGGAGGGTAAAATATTCCTGAGGAGGGTATATATATTGGAAAATATTCCTCCATGTAAGTGGCTCACTGCCAGAGTAGAACAAGTACATCCAGGAACTGATGGAATAGTACGTGTGGTCACTTTAAAAACGACAAGTGGAATAATCAAACGATCCATCTCAAAACTGATTGTCATTCCAACGGACTGATCTTGAGATACAGGGTATCTCAAGGGGTGGAGAATGGTTAGATTTTACCATAAATTTCTTTATTTAAGTCATATGTTTTCTAATTATTAAAATGTTAGTGTTTACTTTCAAAAATGTAAATAAATATTGAGTTGAGTGAGTAAATCAATGAGAAAAAACCATGTCCACTTTTCTGAGTAAATATCTATAATTTCTTTATAATCCATAAAAATGAGACGTCTGCTTCAGTACCCTAATGTCAATTAGTTTATGAAAGTTTGTCATTTGCTGTCTTATATTTTTCGTTTCTCCATTCAATCAAGAGTAGTACCAATCGGGAATGTAAGTTATACGTAGGTAGCGAAGGTGGAAGTTGTTTCACATTAGCCCGTTATCTTACAAGACGAATGGCACCATTCTGCACTTACACTAGTGGTTTATCACTTCATCCGACTCTTCAGGCTTACCTGCAAACTGAATGTCTCTAATGGCATGACAATTTACGATAGTTGATCAAATATTTGGTTGAAGAGGACTAGCCATCCTCACTAAGCTGTGACCATAAGACTTAAAAAACATAAACCGGAAAACAAGATTTTTTATTTGGATTTAAGTTGCATATAATATAATGAACTTTTAAGTTGAACTGAAGATAACAATATCACATGTAGAAAACACAAAATAGGACCAATTTGAATGGCATTCCTCATACCTTGCTTTCATACTTAAAACGCCAGGTCGTATTAGCCTTGCAAAATAAAAATAATTAAATCTCAAATTAGTTAAATGTATTAACTATCACTTAAAATACACGTATATTCAATACTGTATGTGATACGGAGCTCATTAGTTGTACGCTGCTTTACTTTCTACGACGGTAAATATCCTTTGAGAGGGTGACTTGGACAGTTTGGAAGCCGCAACTCAATTGCAGAACTAACTGGGAGACTTTAACGATTAGCTGAAAACAAAGAGACATTACCGTGTTTGTCCAGTTCAGCCTAACTTTTGTCCCAACCACAACATAATTCTGGTCCTTCGCTGTGTGATAAACTACAGCTGATGATCATGCATTCCATTTACCTTCCAACTTTCCACACGGTCAGCAGTATCCTACTAATTGAAAGAATTTCCATTTCGACAAATATTCCTTTTTGTTATAAAAGCCGCTTCATACCAATCTTTTAACACTGATTAAAGAGTTTCTACCAGTTTACGAATATTGGTTTTGGGTTTGCGTGCTTTTTGAACGATTCTTAGGAATCTTATATAGGTATCATAACAGTGATTATTATTTATTTTTTCAAAACTTCTATTTTAATTATAGCTAGTGGCATTTACACACCCTCGTTTGATTGACGCAAGACGTATTTATCCGACCAAACTCGCAAACAATAATCTAGCACAGATTGGTGGTGTGATTTCATATGACACCGCATTCTTATTTTCTCAGTGCCCCTAAGCACAGCAAACAGCTGCGTGCAGTGCCTGCCTTTTATTATTTTGTACATGAAGCGCTCCTTATTTTAGGTAGATCTTGATGGATAGCTCGTTATTATTATTATGGGTTTTTCATGAAGTAATGTTTGAATTCAATCTATATGATAATAAATATAACCTACATTTAAATTCTTATCATTTATATAAATTGCATAAGATGGGCTCGCCACTGTCTGCGTATTTTAACCCAAATATGAGTGAAGGATGAGTGTAAGATGAGTGGCGCGATGTTCCTTAGCCACAGCTGTTAATTAATAGGCCATAGAACCAATGGTAACAATGGGACCTACAGTTTATAGTGGAATCTTTTTCCTTCCACATATTTTCCTTGTAATTAACGCATTGGTCTAATTATCAGAATAGTACTGCGGATAGTCGTAGTATTTACTACCGGTAGTGCTGTTGTTAATCCACACCAGAGAGCATCGCATCCACTTCACAGTGCATGTCTATAAATATACACATTTCATTACCTCATAGTAGCTAGATTACAATATTAATCTATTCTTAAAATATTTAATGTTTGATATATTGAAACTACTTAAATAACAATAAACTAAATCTGCCTATCATAGCTTAAGATTATAGCTGGTAACATATATTCGGTATTTTAATAAGCACGTAGGAAATGGCAATTTATTATGGGTTGTGTGCCGGATATAGAGAACGTGGGGTTTACTGTGCATTGTATAGTTGTTGGCTATCAAGGACTGAGACGGTTACAATTTTTACAGTATTGTGTGAGTTAAGAATAAAGTGAGATGCCATCTGCAAACATTTTTATCCTTTTCACTGATCATTTTAATTTATTTGTTTTGTTTTTCTTTACCTATTTCAGATTTTATTTCTTTACATCACCTCTCATAAGCAAATTATTATTTCATAGTCATAGATTGAAAATTTTGAAGTTTCTGACTTTATAAAGGAATTAAAAAATTATATTTCTTATCATCGCTGAACCATACCAGTAATGACACTCTTTCGTTTATGCGTTTGATTCCGTAACTATGAGCAGCCAATATTTTACATTCGTCGCAAATGTTTTTTGGACGAAGTACAACCACTCTCGTAGTTTTTGTTCACCTGGGCAGCTTTAAGTAACTCTTTAGCAGAAAGTGATTTTTGGAAACAACTGGAAGTTTAAAAAATAGGTATCTATAGGTACATAAAATGTTCACCTAAAATACCTCTCATCACTGAACAGCAATAATTTCTGTCAGATTTTTCTACGTCATACATTCATGTAATGTTATGTTGTAGCATTAGTCCTTTACTTCACAATCGTGTGATAATCCAAAAGTAAAGATATTAGTTGTTTAGAGACATTTAAAAGTTATAGTACCAGCAATAAACGTATTATAGAATCTTTATAAAGAAAAGTTTTTATCTTGAATTTTCAAATGTAATTTATCTCTTCCTGCCTTGAAGTTATATCTTTTGCTTGGACACAATTCAAAATCTTGAGCAGCCTCAGGTTAAAATCTATTCAGGTTGTAAAACCTTTATTTATAACTGTTTTCATGAAAATCAATTAATAAAATAATCTCCTTACTTTGACAGCCCGAGGTCAGTCTTATCACTGTGTCTTATATGTAAACGGTGATAAGACCGAATCCTTCCCAGACATGAGTTACAGACATAAAATGTATTCAAGTTTCGCGGATCTGATGTACAATACCTTTGGTAATAGGTAAGGGAGTTACATTGTCTATATTGACACTGAAAGGGTTGTCGGTGACACTGAAAACTTGTCTGTTATAGCAGAAATTCAGATAAAGAGGTGCTCGCTACTATGGGTGCAGCGGGATGTCCTATTGGAAACAGAGTGTTAAAACAGGAATATGAAAGTGTCGTCACAGTCGCCCCGCCCACAGCCTACAACACACTGTCACTACACAGCTGGTGCAGCTAAGCCACCCTAGGGAACACTCTTTCGCTCCTCATTCTCGTCCATTATAATCCTCCGCACCTGATCACATGATCAGCAGAGTCCCTCAGGAGTGTTTGTGGTCCAGGATTACCCGCAAATCCCTCCAGATCTACATTTTTCAGGATCAAATCAGTCTTCGTCTCACAGATGGTGCCTAAGAAATGTTTAATTTATTAGTGAGAGAAAATAGATTGGCAAATGTTCTACGTGGAGTTGGCATCCAAAACAACATTTACGTTCTTGGATAAGGTTACATATTGTAATTCTTTTTAAGGACGTGCATTTTATTTGACCATTCCTTTAACGTCCATGGAATGTATATAACAACATTTTGATCGACATAAACACTTTGTTGATAGAATTTTGTTAAGAGAAATTATTAGGCTACAAATGAAAAGACTTAACAGTGAATGACAGTTTTCTTTTCTTTAGTTGTGGCAAGGCATAAATACAATCACAGTAATAGTCCCAGTACGTGGAAGATGGTATTTGTTTTACTA